AGACGCAGGCTGGAAATTTCTGTAAGTACCGAAACGTCGTTGGAGTTGAAGCTTTACTGACCGACAACGGACGCTTCATCGACCTTCAGGCAAGTGTTCATGGTTTGTTATTAAATAAAATTTCCATATACTTTAATAGTTCCAAACGTTTTATCGACCTACAGGCAAGTGTTAATTAAAAAAAATACCATGTACTTTAATAGTTCCAATCTATGTTTCGCAATGAGTTTGTTTACCATGAAACACGCTCGTTATGCATGCATCTGACACCAGCCAGAAGATAGGGAGCAAACGCTAATTACAGACGCACAGTAATGTCTCTATTTAACTCCTGAAAAATTGAAAACTATCTTACACAAATGACTTTTTCACTTCACTCTCTACTTGATCTGCACTGTAGTCTTTTTAATCTGTAGCCTTGAACAATATTTTATGGAGAAGTTAACGGGAGATTAAGTTATTTCGCTGCAAATTCATTATATTCTCAACTCAGGGTAACTTTATTTATGTATGCTAGGGATATCCTTCATCATAGTATTTATTAGAATATAGTAGTATTTCTGCATTTGTGACAGTGCCGTTCATGAAAAATATTCCTAATTTTCTTTCTCGCAGACTTCATTTCTCAAAATCCAAGTGGTTTTCATGGTAACTTTGGAGCTGCAATCAGAATTTAACGGAACTTCATGCAACTATAAGTCGACAAGCAACTTCTCTTAAAGCATTGAGCCGCACAGCCACTCCAATATTAACACTATGGAGTTGTTATGCTGTTTTTTTAATGCCATGCGTGCAACTTAAATTTAAAAATAAATTACATATACTCACTGCAGACAAGTTGTTTTATGACAAACTCTTCATGAAGAAATTAAAGCGCTAGAAAGTCATCGCGGAAGTGGCTTAGTTCTTCTTGCGTAAATTGTTAGGGTTTTTATCTTATCAATATGCAATATTATATACATTTTTTAAGTACGAATTTTTGTAGAAACTCCTTTGAGCCGCACACTATAGGGATGACTTTGCAAAACACTGATGCTCTCAAGGATATCCCACACTGAAGGCATATTGAAAAATTATTATTTATCTTGACGGACGCTTCTGAACTCAAAATAAAATTATGATGTGAAATTAAAAATATTCCGACAATAACTTACCGACATTATTGTTTCTTGGTCACTCTTGACGCAATGTATTTCTTTCCGACACATTATTCATCGATCTTCCGACAATAAAATGTGCAATAAGTTAGTAAATGGTTTTAATTTATCTTTTTTTACGGTCTTCAGTACGATATAAAAGAAACAGCTCTCAGGGACCACGGCCGCCGACTCTGTGCCCTGGTATACCAGTCTTTGTACGCGGGCAGAAGTTCGGCGAATCGTCAACCAAAATCAGCGAGCAGTGCAGTCAACGCTACAAAAGTTGCAACTGCAGAGCTTTCTGCTCACATTCTTGCTGCATTCTACTTCTTAGCGAACGAAGCTCCTTTTCCTGCTAGTGAGTAGGCCATATTCATGACTGTTTGAACAGTCGTCTGTTCAAACTTGTATGTAACTTTTTAAGGTCCAAATTAATTCGTCTGTAACGCATTGATAATAAATTGTTTGAATGATTTTCCCAATAGAACTCCCCATTTTGAGCCTCTTGAATGCCCGTTCTGTTTGGCTGTCATATGCTTACCTGCGAAAGATTTTTAACCGGCTCTAAAAAATCTCAAGTATCCCGATTTCTGTCCTTCAGATATACGAAATTCTATTATCCCAAACAATTCTGGTATAAAATTCTGACGGGACTGATCATTGGAAAGGGATGAATAATTTGTTCTTTGAAATTAAACCAGAAAATGACACCCCAAATTTTCTTTGAATTTGGGGAGGGGGAAATTTTTTTTCTTTGTTTTGTTGTGTCTCTTTTTATCTCTGTCTGTTATTTTTTTCTTTTTGTATTATACTGTTTTTGTTTTGGAATTTTGTGGGGAAAATTATTCCTTTGATTTTTTGTTGGTTTTTTTTTGCGGGTTTCTTTTGTTATTTTATATTTTTTTTTTTTCTTAAGGACTTTTTTCTTCTATCCTTTCTTTTGTCGGTTATTGTCGTGGCTCTTCTTAATATTGCGAATCAAAAATTATACATTTTCGTTCGTCGTTGAATTCAATCACGTTTTTTTTTTGCTCAGCCAAGAACTGGTGGCAACATGTCATCGGGACTCCAGCTTGTCTTTGGCAAGCATTGTTCTTGGCCAGACGCGTACTCCCAAACCGTGTGGTTTTCGCCATTTTGGATAAGTAATAACAAATTGTCATAAATCTGTAATTATCAGTCTATAATTTGCCGCTCGGGTTACAGTTACGATTTTCCCTCATGAGACATTTTTTATCGCAGTTACAAGCGTGACGTGGTAAGTTGCACAATAGTTACAAGGGTGTCAAATTAATTTTCACTGCAGTTACTTGAATTAGGAGATATTTTTCACCTTAGTTACAAGCGTGGAGAGTTAAATTCCACCACAGCTACCATTATTGTAAGGTATTTTTTACCTTACTTACAAATGGGGCCAGTTAATTCTACCAACATATGCATAGTTATTACACAGTTTCCCCAGAGTTACAAGAGAGGGTAAGTTGTTTCTCACTGTAGCTAGAAATGCGTTGACGTGTTCTAATCTCAGTTATGAGTTAGGCAAAGTATTTTAGCATCATAGTCAAGAGCGAGGCGATGTAGTTTCTCGTCAGTTATGTGTGAAGCGAGGTACTTATCACCAAATTAGAAGTGATATAAAGTACTTTTCATCGTATATTCATTTATTTTGTAATTATATTTATTAATATATTTGGAATTCAAATTTCAAGTATTGTAATCCAGAGTAATGCTTTTGTTAAAATATGCATAAAAATACTCATTCACACTCGTGTTCACGGTATGTGGACAAGTATTTACGAATTTTATGTAGCGAGATATTTGTCAAGCCCAAACATTGCCAGCTTTTCGCATTTATTTATTCAGATTCTGGACGGCCGGGGTGGCAGGCCCAGTGTGGAATCTCGCTAAGAAAGACGGCACAATGGCAGGTGCGTGCTCGGCGGCCTTCCTGTTAAATTGGAGAAAAAAATACACACAGATGTTGAGATTTTGGCTCATGAAAGTCTCGCATTCTCTTTCCTCATCCATGCATATTTTTGCCATGAAAAAGTAATATATTTGAATGCAAAAAAAACTATGCGTTCAATAGTTGGTTCTCTTTTAGGAAAATATGCTGTTGTTGTGCTGAATCCGCTTTGAAGTTCATTGCTAGTTGAATCATTTGTTTATAGTTTCTGCAGAAGGAAATTATAGGGTATCAGTGATTTGTGATCTTTTACCGTTAGTAATCGTCATACTAAACATGAGACAAGAAATAGTTACTAATTTTGAAATCCTTGCATGAATTTTAACTAACTCATAGTGGAAGCTGAACAGATTATTCCACCAATGAAGGTCTACTGCAACTTTGTACTGTACTGTACCGTACGTACTGTTCTCTACCAAACAAGATAGAGAAAAGAATGTCATTTAGTGATGTACTTAGCAATGAATGGGGTGCTTTATTAAATTAGTTGGCTTTTTAAAACGAAGCTATACATCAATGTTTAACTGTCGTTGTCAATAGGTCGCTTCTTCTCAAGGCAATGATATGCAAAAGATTAACGACCTTGACGGAGAAAGTTCTCGTTGTGCCGACGACCTTTGTAGAGAAGAGTCACTTTAACAGAGGCTCTTTCAAGGATGCGGCGCTTATCTCGCTCAGGAAACAGTCTTGTCTTTGTGCGTCGGCTATGAAACTTGCGATTGATGCAACTTCAAACGGACAAAGACCGCTTTCCATGCAAAATAGTCCGCCACTTGAGTGAACTAAATGGACCAAACTCTTATGGCGCGTAACATGAAGTTTTTAAATTTATCTCTTTAGTTGATTATAAGTCGAATGGGTCAGCAAATGGGAAAATATCAACTACTGTCAATTTAACTTTGAACATGGGTGATGTAACCTAGTTTAGATACGAGTCCATTGACACATAAAACATCGTACTAGGTAATATTTTGGCTTGAAAATCAAGAATCGGTTAAAATAAGATTATTGCACAGGTAATGAAGTACGAAGATATCTCAATAAGCTAATTCCGGTACTTCATTCCATGGCTACAAATGATTTTTGACCAAAATTAAATAACAATAAATTGCTTGAGCTTTGACATCTTTACGATATATTTATAATTTCTATGCTTTGTGGACCTTACAGATGAGATTTCGAACAATAATTTTGATCGGTATGTCTCAAAACGTCATATTTTTAAATGGCAAGCGTGAGTGAGTTTACCAGTTGGAAAAGCTCCGTGATTTGTATATGTCCAAGCATGATTACCATGCATGCACGCTTCTTCTGATGAACTAAATGAGCTGCCTCATCAATTTGATAATAATATAATGACAATGTGTTCAGTTGTGCAGCAGCTGCTATGAAAATTCAGATGAGTTTCTACTCGATTATTTAATAAAATACTCGACGTTACTTCAACATCTAATGTTCTCTTACGAGCGTGGGTGTGGTTGGGCAGAATGAGATCAATGAGTCCAGGTGCAGCAGAATTGGTTGTTTTGATGTAATTTAGGACTCATTATGGGTCTATGACTCCTGATTATTTTGTTACAGGAGGTAATCTGGGTCCTCGCATGGTCCTGGGTGCAGTTGAGGCAGCCCTCAGAGGTCGTCTACTGCACTGGAGAGACGAGGCATACGTAGAAATCGAAAGAGAAGCCGTTTATAGGGACGGATGGCTGGGCAACGGTATCAGGTGCGTCTTAAGATATAAAAAAATCTATCTGGGATGTAATATCTTTTATTTTATCGTCATATTACTTTAAGTGCTAATCAATGAACTGTTTTACGAATTATCGGATTATTATTTGTAGAGCCAATGTAACTGTTTCATAGTTGCTTGCATGCTCTCCCGCGACAGGCATTTATATATAATATATAAATAAAAGGCATAAAATAATATAAAAAGGCTTTTATATATAATATATTAATAAAAGTTGTATATAATATATATGTATATAAATTTGAAGGCCGGATGGGTGCATTCATCAGCACAATCTTCGGCTGCATCGCTCTGACTCACCTCAAGTTCTTCACCAAATGTACAGCATCAACTACGGCAAGGAATTTTACAGGGTTAGTGAGTAGTTTTTTGTTTCTCATGCCGTGGATGCTTGTGCAATTGAAATCATAAAAAAGGATCACGATTTTTCCCAAGTAAATTCATTTTAGTAACAAATGTACTTGGGGACAGTTAGTTATTATAATGATCGCTATCGTTTTGGAAAAAATATGACGTTTTAATAGAAAATTGTTACCATTCCCAAATCTACTATATCTTGAGACTGTCTATAAATGGACTAATTCGGAATTACTGGATTTAAATTGTCGTCTGGAAGCGTGAAACTTCAATTTAGGAACACCTAATCGATGCGGACAGGTTATCTACATTCCAATTTACATCTCCACTTCTTTCTGCAGCACGTTGGTCTGGTGATGTGGTGGCTCCACGACAGTCCCGCATTTCTGGGAAACTTCATTGAATCTGCGGTGGTAGAAGCATTCCTGCAATGCCAAGTGTGGCTCCACAGAGGCTCAATTGTCGAGCCCAGCAGCACTGGTCGCCACATCGACTCAGGTATTCAGGCTACAAGAAAGCTCGATTAGGAGTTGGGTCCCAGAGGTAGCGTATCCGGGTTAGGTGTTGTCTTGGAAGAATCTATATTGAATGTGAACTGTCGTGAATAGGAAGTCAGAAGTTTTCTAACAATTAAAATTTGCGGGAATTGAATATCAGGAGCGAAAGATGGGTGCTGAGTGTTACTTCTCATTTGTTCTTTTAAATAAATTTCAGTCATTTATCCGAAAAAATTCCGAACTGACGATAATGTCGGGTGGCGCTACATTTTTCAACAATGCCTCTCCATAACTCGTATTGAACGTCAATATTTCTACGTCTTCTCCCATGCTAGATGAAACACAGAAAATATAGCTTATCGGGCCTTCACCCGCGTCTCAATCTCGTTTACCTGAATTGCTTGCTATTCCAAACAATTACACCAGAAAAAAAAATAAATAATATTTTTTTAAGTTCTAGCTCAACGTTCAACATAAGATAATGAAAAACTACGTTCGTTTGAAATAATTTTTTTAATAAAAATCATATAGAATAAATCGAACAAGACGTAATTCAGGTAAATACGTTTTCGAAAGAGTCTATATACATGTTTTGCTACAAGGCAATACCAAACTGATAAAAAAAATATACAACTCATTGACAGCTTTACCAGCGTCAACGATTGATAATCCTTGAGATTAGAGTTCCGTTTTTCCGAAACCCGTTATTTTGCAATGCCGCCATTGTTAAAAGGCCTGTTGAAGACCAAATTAATCACAATTATATATGTAAAAAGTGATGTAGAGCCAAATCTTCATTTACAAAGCAAGCCTGTAGACATTGCATGTTAGATTAATTTGCTGTATATATTGCTGTTCATTTAAAAATAAAAAATCATGTATGCAAATTGAGACAAAAAAAAATGTTAATTCCTTCTGTACGGTATTGTCGAATGATATTACCACTATAAATAAAATCCTCGTCTGTGTAATATACAGACACGATAATGTTGTGGATACGGGCCCGATTTGCTCCAATATATACAACACAAGGCACACCCAAACTTCACTTCAAACACATCCACAAGCACACAAACATTACTTCGCACATTTATCGCAGATAAGTGGATTGACTCCCTAGTAACCTTCGCACAGTTACAGCTCGAAAACGTGCAACTCACATTAGAAATTAATATTGTATTATATTTGGGGCGTTGCTAATTGTATGAAACAAATACACACAATTCAGGTCGGCTGGTGACGGAAGTTGGGGCGCAAGATGCTATCGAACGAGCAGTGAAAATCTTGGTTCTTCTCGGCCACTATCAAAAGGAACTGAACGCTGCTCTGCACCGCTACGAAAATTTAGTTCCATTGCCATCTTACGCAAGGAAAGCGAACCGACATTTTTACAGGTATATGTAGTTATGGGTAAAAATTTAAGTTGACGGCATGAAGGTATTTCTGTCATTTTTTTTGTAGAGTAAAGTTACTTCTTAAACTTTATTATTATTCTCTGAATTTCATGTAATTGTAAATGTGAATTTAAAAAGGGATAAAATTTTAAACAAGTTAAAAACAATTATTGAGTGTTTTGGGAATGGTAAAACTAGCAGGAAAATTTACAGGGACTTAAACGTCCCAGAATGTGGTTCGTTATTCATGTATAGGTGCTGAAGCACGCCATTTGAGTAAATGTCAGGCAAATTATTTAGTCAGTTTCCGAATAAATTGGAAAGAATCACTCAATATCGAAGGTTTGTTTTGAAATAAAGTTTTTGAATTTGTAATCATAAATATCGATCACCATATAATGCCCCGACATAGATTTTTATTCCCGTTATGCACGAGTATAAGTGTTTCAAAGAAAATGAAATAAATGCTGGTACGAATTTATTGAATAGAACATTATAAACTTATATTGTTCAATCGTACCTTTATTAACATGGAATTTATTTCCCCTTCTTGTCCCAATAATACTATAAGTTTTAATTGAACGATCCCCTATATACAGGGATTTGAAAATTATTAAATATGATCTGTAAGAAGAAAGAATGAGGTTGACTAAAACAAGTAAAACTGTTAACTAATCTCAAATATGTTAACTTCAGAGAGTTAAAAAAAATTTATTTTGATTGAACTTTTCTGACTATAAAATGATTCACTCACGAATGTATTAATTTATTATAGATAAATGCTAGAGCAGCCGATTTATTTTGGCGGTTGAATTGTTTCGGGCTCATTTCGGGATAAGGAGCCTCGTAAAACGAAAATCTGATTGCTCAGCAATCACGATCAACCTGAGTTCTAGGTAAGTAGATTATAATACCATTATAGAGATAATATTGTCCAAACAAAATACCATTTCTCCGCACTTTCATGAGCAGAACTTCTATTACAGTTCGGATGTGATGGTTCATCACCGACCGCATTTCTTTGCCGGTTTGCGCTTGACGTCGAAAAGATCTGTACGCCCTGAAGGCTTCAGAAACGGGCCCAACTCTGATGGTTATTATCAGGTAATTTTTTCAATAAATTAACTATGAACTGATACAATTATTATAGAATAGTTGTTATGCCTTTCACTAAATAGTTTTCATGATTTAGTAGTTTTATTTAGTAATAGTTTTCATTTAGCGTTGAAGTCATTATTGTTCACGTATTTAAACATTTGTTATCCTTCACAGCGGCTTCACTTAAATATTTTTGTATGTTTATCGTCGAAATTATGTAGCGTTCACGAATATTAAACAATTTTTATCCTTCTGTTAAATTTTTAAAATATTTTTGTAATGTTACAAGTAATTCTTGTTCTCTGGTGTTAAACATTTTTAACCTTTTATTCTATTTTTATGTTTATTTAGTGCTGAAGTTCTTCTTGTTCACGAGTGTTTGCAATTCAAATGGCGGCGCTCGAGCAGGGAGACGGATGGCTTTCCATTATCGCGAACGGTCGAGAGTTTGGCTCGAAGAACCGCGAAGTCTTCCAAGTGTTCGACTGGTTCAAAGTGCCTGGCGTTACGAGTCCCCTCGCACACACACAACAGCCCATGCAAGTCAGTTATTATCTGAAAATGTCATGCAACATTTCAATACCTCTGAGTGAGTGGCGAAAAATATTCTTTATTAAATCATGATTTCTTTAAGCTCTTGGCGTTACGAGTCCCATCGCACACACACAACAGCCCATGCAAGTCAGTTATTATCTGATAAGTCATGCAACATTTCAATTCCTCAGAGTGAATGTCGAAAAATATGCGTGATTAAATTCTAGATTTCTCTAAGTTCCTAGCATTATGAGTCACTTCGCACACACAAGGCAGTGGGTGCAAGTCAGTTATTATCTAAGAAAAAGACGATGCAATATTCAGTTTTTTAAGATGAATATAAAAAACATTCTTGATTCTATTTTGGATTTCTGAGTGAATATGGTGGTTGCTGCTGCCCACCCACAATGCAGCCGCTGCAAATTAGTTATAATTAAAAAAAAAGNAGCGTAAGTCAATTTTAATCTATAAATTGAGCAGATGAAAAATTTAAGTCTAGGATCTGAATGGTGAAAATTACTTTTTGCATCTATTCTTGATTCCTATGCAGCAAAAATTGCCACTGACTGAAAACTTTAGGCACCGATATAAAAGTGTTGTGTTGTAAGCGTAGTGTTGTAAATAAGAGCGTTGAGTTTTTTTTAACTGATTTAGGCTTCAATTAAGCTAGTAATTTTGTCATCTAAAATTACAAAAACTTGAAATAAATTGATCAAAATAAAATAAAATAAATTGATCCCTGTACGTCGAGATCATTAGAATTTCCGAGAAGATCAAACTTTTCAAGATAGAATGATATAATTATATACTTCAGTGTATTACATTAGGTATTTATTAAAAAAGTATTACGTATTAAGTTCGAATAAATATTTCGTTTTTATATAGCGGCATGAATTATTAACCTTTTTTGTTGGGATTTTACTTGAAATTTATTTTAAAATTCATTGATAAGTTATATTGTTAAATTCTTGAACGGTCTTTCGACTGGAGTGGTCGCAAAAAATACTTTATCCATTCGTTTCGAACCGAATCTTTAACAGCGTTTTCATTAAATCATCCTTGATTTAATGAAAACTATTAATTTAATTAATAGTTTTTATTAATTATTAAAATTGATTTTTAATTAATTTCAAACGTAATATCATTGAAACTCTTTGTAAGGATCGCTATCCATGTGCTGCAGTTGATGCCAATGCATGAGCTGAAAACTAAGGATGGATTCTCTCAGGCTCCTAGCGTAAACCCTCACTCTGTTATTCGAAAATATTATTATGCATGTATCAGATACAGTGTAAGAAATAACGGTGAAGCGACTGTATTACCGGCGTTCCGGCGGCCTGCCGCCCCGTGAAAATAAACCGTTTTGCCTTTTTTTACAAATTTGATACATGGTATCATGCGTTTAATTAAAAAAAACGAAACCTTGTGTTTCATTTCATGGCCCATGCAGTCGGCCAGACAGCCACTGAAATGCCGGTTAAACTGTTTTACGACTTTTTACGAACATACTATCATTCAAGAAATCAACCACGATTTTCCATCCTTCAGGTCTCATTCACAAGTGACCGAGCGGCGCATTTCACAAACTCTGCTCATTTTGTCGGCGGTGCCTCGGACGGCTACACTGGCGTGGCAGCGATGCTTCTTAACCGAACTACCACTGAGTTGACGGCCAAAAAATCCTGGCATTTCTTCAGTGACTGCGTCGTTGCTCTCGGCTCAGATATAAATCTGCTCCAGCCGGCACCAGCCTGTGAAGTAGTTACGACCCTGAATCAGGTGCGTAACTTTTATATTAACAGCAATTATTGTTACAAATTGCGAATATCCAATTCCAAATCCAAATAATTGGTTTATGAAATTTGTATTATAATTTTCTTCTCTATCTTCATAGGATAAGCTTGTCGAAAACATGATCAAATCATAACTAAAGATTTCTGTTGAGGGCTAACACAAGCTCATTAACTTCGCCCATTCACTCAGCTCTCTGGTAATGCCTATTTCGCAGATAATATTACATGGTTCAGACGCCCTCGCATTTTATATGAACACTCACAATGAAAGGAACGTTAACTAATTATATACACTTAAACTCTGATTTTTTCATCATCTAGTCGAAATTTAAGAAATGTTAAGTGATTATATCTTAATTTGTCAGCTACACATGAAGAACCCGAAATCACATTTAATTATTGTTATAAAAAAATTCTACTTTCTAATTCAGAAATTATGTGTAATCTAAAAAATTGTAATTTTCACCGATTAACGGAATTGGTTAGCAGTAGATATATGAAAATGCGTCATTTCTGTGCAGTTAAAAAATTACCAAAGTATTAATAAACATTTGAATGACATGTGCTATTAATTTTCATACACGGTAGTTTGTATCTAATCGTTAGCAATCGGATTACCAGGGAACTGTAGTTGTTCAATACAAAATTTTAGTATTCATGAATAAATTCAGTATTCATCATGATTATTATTTGGTAGGTAAGAAATATTGTAGAATGTAAAAATTTATCTTGTGTGGATGCCTGGAGATCATGTACATTATTGCTCGGTGAGACCATTAAAATAAAATCAAGCAAATGCATCACAAAATGTAAAATTGTTGTCAAATGGTTAACAAAAATGCAATTGAAATGGTTGTTATTTTTCATCACAAATGGGTGGCATTATTTAGAATTACTGGTCGTTCCCTTTTAGCATCTCATTTCAGTCAGTCAGGTAGGGGAATGGTATTTTCAGCTATTTTTCTAGGAATCGAAGGCTGCTTCGTCATAAATTCCTGCCTGGTAGCATCAAATCCAGCTGTTGTGAAGGCCCTAAACCTCCCTACGTGACTTCGTGAAAGCCCGATCGAGATATTCCATGAAAGTCATCACTGGAGAAAATCCCACATTTTCACTGCAACTCAGGCTGCCGCTTTTAAATGAATTATTAATAAGAGAATTTACCGCTTCTTGAGGCAATATCAATTTGTTCTGATCGCTTAAGCCAATGTCAGCAGGTTTAGATGCAGAAGTAGGTTTTTTATCAACATGATGGTCAAGTCTGGCAATGGCAAATCAGTGCAATGAAGTTCGTTTATGACCCATTTTTTTTCTGGTCGAAATCGGTCCTTCAGATTTTGAGTTTATTTTTATTTGTTTACTCATGTTTTCAGCTATAGTTCATTCTAGTTTTGATTATATTATACAGAGTGTCCCAAAATAAACGATACTCAACTTTGAATGGCTGTAACTTGAAAAGTAGCAGAGTTAAAAAATTTTGGAAGGTTATTATTTGTTTCCTATGTTTTTCTGCATCTCTCCACCAAAACTCAGAAAGATCGATGTAGCCATAAGCGTTTGATAAAACTTTCAGTGACATGTGCTAAAATCGTGCTTGTGATTGATTAGTAAAATGATCTTACTAAAGTAAGATCATTTTACTAATCATTACGTTGTCTTTACATGTTTTCTTTTCGCTGTTTTAATTTTTGTATCTTTGGTGAGACAAAAACATGGCAATCTTTGTTGAGAGGCAATCATGACAATCTTTGGTGAGAGACAATCATGAAAATCTTTGGTGAGACACAATCATGGCAATCTTTGGTGAGAGACAATCATGGCAATCTTTGGTGAGAGACAATCATGGCAATCTTTGGTGAGAGACAATCATGGCAATCTTTTGTTCAAGGCAGTCTTTGGTGAGAGGCAATGTTGGGTTTGCAAATTCCCTCTCACCAAAGATTGCCATGATTGCCTCTCACCAAAGATCACCATGTTTTTGGCTCACCAAAGATACAAAAAATAAAACAGCGAAAAGAAAACATGTAAAGACAACGTAATGATTAGTAAAATGATCTTACTAAAACTTTGCGCAAGCACGATTTTAGCACATGTCACTGAATGGTCTATCAAACGCTTCTGGCTACATCGATCTGTCAGAGTTTTGGTGGAGAGATGCAGAAAAACATAGGAAACAAATTCTGACCTTCCAAAATTTTTTAACTCTGCTACTTTTCAAGTTACAGCCATTCAAAGTTGAGTATCGTTTATTTTGGGACACCCTGTATATATGCCTAAAAGGTATGGTATATGTAAACGACTTTTATATCCACATTCATTCAAGGCTAAAATTACAGTTCGAAATTCGGCAATTGTTCATATCTTTTGCTAGTGCGATTAAGTCGGCGTACCTTTATAAACTCTTAAAGTTATGTATGATCATTGATCAAATACATTTCAAATTGTGTGCACTGGTGATTCGCAGAGAAGCGTTACACTAAACATGCCTACATGTTGGCTTCTGCGTGTGTGATAATCTATATATTAGAAGCCAACAGTTTACACTAGAATGACACATTAAATATTAATAATGAAGATATGAATTCTCAACATGCAAAATACCATTCCATTTTAATCATTACGACACCCTGAGCATTTGTTTTTGAAATTCTATCCACTCACATTCTTTAACAATCTTGTATGAATACATGGAGCTCATTCGCTTGTGTGGGATTTTCCCCTTACTTGTATACGAAAAAAAATCCAGTAGAATACTGAATCCTTATGTGCGGTAGTTACCTGAAAATAGCCTCATCTTAGTCCCAAATGGTAAATTTTCTTATTATTTAACGAATGTAGTATGGCATGTCGAACATATGTATGATGTACAGTATGTGTCAATGTCAAACTTTGCCAAAGCACTTAATCAAAAAATTAAAATCAAACAGGAACAACTCTAAATGAAATGAAACACTTCATTAATAAGATTGATAACTTCTGGCAGGTGGTGGCAGCGACTCTACATGAAATGTTACACTTAATTAATAAGATTGATAACTTCTGGCAGGTGGTGGCAGACGGTGAAGTTACAGTAGGGTTGAGGGATGGCAAGACTGAAGTCCACGGCAGTTCGAGCGCCCCTCAAACTTGGGATGCCCGCTGGGCGCACCACGATTCTCTTGGCTACGTATTTTTGCAGGACGAATCTGAGACTCCATCTCAAAGTCAGCTCATTAGGGTCAAGAAAAACTCGCGGAGAATAAAAACAAACGAAGACATTCCCGTATTCGAGTAAATGAAATACCAGTGACGGTTTGAATATCTGTCATCACTTTTAGCAATATACAAAAAAGTTATAAACATTTTATATTATATTATTAAGTTAGAAAGTTTATATATTATATTTTAGCAAAGAGGTTTGAAACTATGAATTTTTGCATGTGGAAAAATAAGTGTTAATCAGAATATGTTCTAAATTTAATAGTTTTTTCCTCACAATACATTGATCAAGTTGAAGAATTCCCTTCATTAAATATAATCAGAAAATTACAAAATTTGACTCAAGGTAAGTTTATCTGATTATTTTTAATAACAGGGACTTCTGTTATCTGACTTGCAATGTTATTATATGTATTGACTTCTTTCAGAGGTTGTAATTTTCTGATTAACTTCCTTCAGAAGATGATTATAGTGATTTTACTGACCTTGATTGTTAGGTCCTTCCGAAGATGATTATAGTGATTTTACTCTCCTTGATTGTTAGATCAATCAGTACAATACCTTACTTTTCTTTTAAAAACTGGAATTTGTAGTGCAGTATGTAGTGCAGTATATCTCTTTCCCAAATGGAATTTTTAGTGCAGTATTTTGTAAGGTCATTAGTACAATACGTTACTTTTCTTTTAAAAACTCAAAATTTCCCAGGATTTTGGAATCGCACGGCGCTCAGCCTGTTGACGCTCGATACTCGCACGCATACGTGCCGGCGTCAGCGCCTGCCGCTGTGCAGCAGTTCGCTCAGGCTCCCTCGCTCCGAGTGCTGCAGAACAACTCTACCGCGCACGTCGTATGGAGTCATGTAGACCAGGTAATAGAGTAATAAAATGTCATGTAGACCAGGTAATAGAGTAATAAAATGTATCTTATGATTGTATCTGATGTCTTAAATTTTGCTCATTCTATAAAAATATTTCATATTTACTGCACCGAAGTTGATGTTCAATATTTTGATTATGTGGTTGATTTGTTTGAGGATCTGAGAATTGCGTATTAATGAAGCAAAGAGCAATAAGAATCGGGTATATTATTATTACAGGTATTGAGCGCAGTGGTCTGGCAGGCTGGTCAGGTCGACATCACAGAGTGTTTGTTGAATTTCCCAGAAGACTGGCAGGTGATCAGTCTAAATGAAACCAACTCCATCGACGCCACAAGCTCTGCGCAGGAAGTAGACGCTCTTGAAATAGAAAATAAGCGACATTTCAGTAAATCAAGTTCACAAGCGTATCACCTTCCTAAGTCAGCACCGGAATATCCGTTCGATTCTCACGGACTTAATGTAAAGATTAATGTCAGAAACAAGAATTTTCTATCGTTTAAGTCCGATTTTGGAAATGATGATGGTTCATTTCGTCTAACACTTGAGTCAGACAAGGGCATGATATTAATCGTCAAGCCTCTCGAAGAAGTTGTGGATATTGATAAAAATCTGAACCTGTTCACACTTTTGTCAACGGAGGGAACATATTCGTCTCATGAGCACGCGGGAGCAAGCATACATCAAAATCGATCAAAGCGCCATGTCCCGGCAAGCCCCCAAGAAAACGAAGCTTTCAATATTCACAACAGTATACCTACCGGTGGGACAGGGGAAGTGGGAAGAACAACAGCTCTGTATCCGAACCCTCGTCAGATGTTGACCAACAAGACGGACGCAAATTCAATTGACAACAAAGGCCCTCTGTCAGCGGGAGACATAGTGAATTTAAAATCCATTTATGTTAATCCTGAAGATGGAAGTTTCGGAAACGAAGAAGAAAGCATGGTGAACAGAGGAAATTTTGACCGCAGTTCAGAAGTAGTTTCAACTAATTTTATTAACGGTTCAAGATTTTTATCTTCAATAAAGCCGCCAAATGAAACACCCTATCCTATTTATGAGCAAGAATCTGGTGATAATTTATCCCCAGAAAATTTATTTCTAAACATAAATGTGTCACTGCCGATGTCACCAGAATTTAATTCTAACATAGCTGATTTTCGTCGAGAGTTACTACACTTGATTCAAATGATCGTCAAGGAAACGGAAATTGAGGCAGCTGGAAAAGATATATCATCGATAATCAGTGACGCTAATGTAACAAGTTCAAGCGATCAGATTAACCGTTTGAATGGCCCCGATATTGGAACAGCCTCCCTCGCAGAAGAGCCAAAGGCAAATTTAGTACACACTTCAATAACAATTCCTTGGTCTGCAATTCCGGCCACGGAAGTCGATAGAAACTTTGTTAAGGAGCCTACAGTACCTCAGCCATCTGAAGGTTCTCCGATATTCTTATTTATTGGATTAGCGGAGGGAGAAACAGCAAACTTTACCAATCCGAATCAAACAGTCAGTTTGGCCACTGACGGTAAACGGTATGCGTATGAAATGAAAGGAGATGAATCTTATGATTCATTAACATCGGTCGATGGTGCTTCAATTCAACAGGAAAAAAATTTAATGCAAACTAATTCTGATGTGATTTCTATATCTATTGACCCATCGATGTCACATGACGTAAATTTTACTGAAGTCAGCGTTGAGAGAACTCCCACAATGGATGAAGCGCCGTTCTTAATGAGTCCGAGCCAGGTTTTCATCGATCAAAATGAGACGGAGCAGCCTAATAAAAGCTCAGAAATTGTCGGCACTCCAATCCTTAACATTGAGGAGCCTCGCTATGAAAATTACAGTCAAGTCTTCAGTGTTCTTAATACATCGGGAGTGCTACCTAATGACGGCAACAAATTTGCTCCATTTCATTTCCAGCCCACGAGAAGAAACATGAACATGAAGAATGACTCATCGCATGAACTCGCATCATCGAGCCATGCAAACAAGTCTGTTTATCTAACAAACTATAAACAGTTTGTAAATATGACGGATGCTAATCATTCTGGCGTTAATTATTCGACACATTATATTAATGATTTTGGTTCTGTCGTATTGCATGATACTGTTTCCGAGGATGTCGCTGAAAATCTTCCCGCTGAAAATATTTTTAACAATGTAGATAATCATGAAGAATTTGTCACTCCAGCTTACGATGAATACAATTTTCGTACAGATTTTACTGAGACAACAATAAAAAAGCTGTGTTTCAACATCAGCTTATCAGACCCTTCACAGATGCATGATAATATAACTCTGACATTCCGCCTATCAAGAATATTCGGTTCAGATGTACTGATTAATGTTCCCATACAAGATCATCATTCAATGTCAAAATTCCATTATTATGTAAACAATGGAAAAAATGATGCTAAATTAGATGACACCACAGATATTCATGGTCCAGCGATATGGAGGTCTGCCACAGCCTCTGTTAGCATCCCACTGCCCCTAGCGCCTCACAGAGGTTCATCCACACACAAAGTTTTTTGCCTGTAGACAAGTTCCGCTGATAGATTTCTATCGATATTGCCTTTTTAGCGCATTTAATCATTTATGTGAAAAATGCGCTATTGTGCTCGCCATGTCCGTCTGTCCGTCCGTCCGTCCGACCGTGACTTCAAGTTTTCGTCGACGAGAAAATGCGCGCTCTGTCACTCACTGAAGTGAGTACTGAGTTATATTTTTTAATTTGTTTATCTTAAACGTCAATTATATTTTAAGAACGCGTTAAAGTTGGATATTTTAACCAAGCTCAGATCTCTAATAAACCGACGTCGGCATCGTTTTTTTTCTGACGCTTTGCAAGCGTTTGCAATATATAAGCAGCAATTGTTATGTTTTAACCATTTATTATGAAGTTTTATACTGAAGGATTTATTCTCAGTGACAAATAATTCTCTCAAAGAATACTGAAATAAATGGTTCCTTGAATAAATGAAATGAAATCGATGCGGAAAATGAAATCTTTTTTAAGAACGCGCTAAAGTTGGATATTTTAACCAAGCTGAAATCTCTAATAAACCGACGTCGGCATCGTTTTTTTTGACGCTTTGCAAGTGTTTGCAATACATAAGCAGTAATTGTTATGTTTTAACCATTTTTAATGATATTTCATACAGAAAGATTTATTCTCAGCAACAAATACTTCTCTCAAAGAGTACTGAAATAAATGGTTCCTTGAACAAATGAAGTGAAATCGATGCGGAAAATGAAATCTTAAAATTCTTGTTGTATTATGAAAGTTTAATCGCTATTATTACTCTAATTTAATTCTTTTGTTGTGATTTTTGTATTGTTTGACGATTAATGTCCTTCGAAATGTGTGCGCTTAATATCATTCAGAATCGACATCTATTGTTCAAGAATGCGAACTTATTTATTTTCACTCTGCGCATAATTTACAGGCTAATCTCTAGGCTCGATTAACCTTTAAAATAAAATTAACGCGGCACTTTTTGATCTTTCAACGAACGGAAAACCGTCTATGAAAATATCCAGTATGCCAACGGTATTCAGGCATTGGTTGATCAAATCCTCCACAGGTTCTATGCCATGGTAAGCATCGGTGACAGCGCATCATATGTACAAGTCCTGTTCTTCCTGTTTTTTAATGCTGCACAATAGCTGCTCAATTGAAGCAAAATGAAAAGTAGAAATTATATTCTTCAATTATAACTTTCCAATTAAATTGACTAGAGGATTGTCAGAATTTGAGACAAGCAGTCATTTGCAAAACTCCAAATGGAATTTTGTTCTTGTCTCCTCGTAATTCCAGTCGTAGAATAGCTATAATGATTTTCGAATTATGATTGTTAATAGTTTTCCATTTGAGAATCAACCAACAACTCATATTATTTGTTTAAAATAAAGCGTGCGAGTCAGAAATGTTTCCAGCTTTATTTTAATCCTATCTCATTTACGATATCATTATCAGATTAAAAAATTCACTATGATGAATAATCCGCTGCAAATTTATATCATTCAATTGTCAATTATGAAATTAGCTCTGAGCAATGGACTGTGTGAATGAAAAAATAATAATTGATGAATGAAATTGTATAACTCGTACGAAATTTAAACTGTCGAATGTTGCCTCAAAATTCATTGTTTCTATTATAATTTTGAGAATTATATTTTTA